CGGACCCAATCCCAGCCGGCAATCGGGCGAAGGCGGGGTACACCCTGGACAGGTTGCCAATCCATCGCAGGGCGAACACATAGACGTACAACCACACATACACGCACGCACGCACTCCTATGGGCAATTTAGAGACACCAATCAACCTAAGCTGCATGTCTTTGGTCAGTGGGAGGAAGCTGGAGCACCCGGAGAGAACCCACGCAAGCACAGGGAGAACATGCAAACTCCACACAGAAAGGTCCCAGGTGGGGCCCGAACCCGGAACCTTCTCGCTGTGAGGCAACGGCGCTAACCACTGTGCCACCGTGCTAATTAACCAGGCTCACCAATTATCTTTTCTTAAAGATCTTGAGAGATCTTTTCTTCAAGCTTGTTTTCTTTGGCTTTTTCTGAACCTCCTCAATCTGATTTTCTAGATTGTTTAGTTTTTCCACAAGTCCATTTGTACATTGCCTTCTCTGTTCTTCCTGCTGTGTCACAGCCTGGGTCGTAGTCCTGATAGACTCCAGGAGGCCACACCTTTCCTGATTCCACTTTAGTTGCTCACTGTCCAGGTTTTCCTTTGTTTCAGTTAATGCAGCCTTGAGGCTGGAGATTGCCTCTGCGTGCTCAGTCAGGAGACGAGACTTCTCCTTCTCCCACTGGCGTAACTCCTTTTCCACTTTTTTCTTCAGGTCTTGGATCAGAATTGCCTTCAGTTTGGAAGTTGCCTCTGCGTGATCAGTCAGGAGACGAGACTTCTCCTTCTCCCACTGGCGTCATTTGTTTTCTAAGTTTTTCTCCTGGTCTTGGATCAGAGTTGCCTTCAGTTTGGAGTTTTCCTCTGCGTGCTCAGTCAGGAGACGAGACTTCTCCTTCTCCCACTGGCGTAGTTCGTTTTCCATGCTTTTCTGCATCTGGATCAACACTGCCTGCATTCTGGCAGCTTCAAGATTCTGCTGAAATTTCTCTTGCTCCCACTGGGATCTGTGGTTGTTCAGATTTATGAGCTGGCACTTCCACTGCTCAACTTTCCTGAGCAAGCCGGCCTTTTCTTTAACCAGCTGGGATATCTTATCATCCTTCCTGCTAATGAACAGGTCTAGTTCCCAGTCAAAAGTTGAAAGATCCTCTTCTAAGTAGATTGCAACAATGTTGGCCATCTTCTCAGCAGCCTGACTATCTTGTTCTGGTATTTCACAAACTGCAGACTTGTCTTCGAATGGAGGACTTCAATGCTCTGATCCGCAACAAGCAAAATGACTGTTTATACAGCAAATTTAGCTTTTACCGCCTTTTTTGTTAAAATTGTGTGTACACTGACAAAATGTGTTATCTGGTTCACTGTGTGAGTTTGTCGGGTGACATCATCATTCTAGAACGCCATCCTGGGCACATATCAAATGAACAATTGGAATGATGCAGAGAAGCTGCTGTGAACCAATAAGAATTGCTTAGTCTCAAATGATTTCATTTTAAAAATGTTATTTTTAATTTATTTATTTATTTTCTGGCCACAACATTTGTTGATATACCATGCAGGTGCCGGTGGCCCAGACACACAGACTGACACACAAACAAATAAACATTAAATAGTATTTAAACCTGAGTCCTATATCATACATATTTTCCATGAATTTAAAATCAAAGTGAGGGTGTGGGACTACACTTCTCAACCAGCATGGGTGACAAAACTCTCATTCCGTGCACCGTTCAAGCTGCAGTATTTGTCACTCATTTCCCAGTTTATATGTACACAATAATAGTTGTGTAATTAAGGTTATAATGCTCGGTTTTGTCCAGAGTGTTCCTCAGATGTGTTGATTCAACTAAATGATCGTACTGGAGGTTGTGTTTTCTTTATCAGTGGTGGAAATACATTTCAGAAAAAGTAGTAAATTCCACAACAGTGAACTTAAGTACAATACCTCAGTAAAAGTATTAAGTTACTTTCCACCATGATAATTATAGTGCTTTTTAATGGAAGTGCATTTGAAGGGAGCAAACTACAGTCTAGTTTAGAGTAACTTTGTGTGACGTTCAGTTTTGAACATAAATTCAGCAGTTTTGAAAGTAGCATGTAAGCATTTCAGATGGACTATAGTTGTTATTGTACTAGCAAGGATGAGTTCTCCTTTGTCCTTTGTGTGAATATTTTTCAGTGTCTACAAGCAGCTGCTGTGTGATATGTCATTTCAGGCCCTGCTGAAACCTAATGGTACGGCAAGAGAAAAAGCCAGATTGCTCTCTTGCATATTCACAGGCCTTCTGACTCTGAGATAATATTAATATCATGATGAAGTTAGATTTATGGAGATGTTTTGTTTTTCTTCTGATAAACATTGTCCCATAAACACTGAATAAAAATATTTCATGGAAAGTTTGAAACTCCATGCAAACTGTTCTGTGAGGCAGAGATGGAGGTGCTTTAACAAAGATACAACCCCAAATCAGAAAAAGTTGAGACAGAGTGTAAAATCTAAATTAAAACCGAATGAAACTAGTGATGTGGAAATCATTTGTCCTGTATCAAAGTGAAAACAACACAGCAGCACGTTATTTGATGTGATGCCTCATCAGCTTTATTCTTTGTTCGAAATAAACACTCACTGGTCAGTGGAGGTTTTGACAAATGTTACTCAAACAGGAGCAAAGGGTGTATTTGTTGGAGTGGTTTCTGGCAGCAGGATGGTGTACAGTATGTGGGATTAACACAAGGTAAACCAGATCGTGAATATTCATGAAGTAACAAGTCACCCAGTGCAACTTTGTGGATCATTATGTTTTTGCTTAACAACAAAACTCTGTGAATGAAAGGACTCAGTTACTAATGTAACTGGCTTTGAAAACACACGGCTTTCAACTGATTGTTGGATTTAATCTTTCCACAGGATCCGTTTACAATAAAATGTTAGAATATCACTTGTGTTTTTAATCAAATTTAAACTGTAAGTAGTAGACGTGACCAGTAGATGGGAGTGTTGCTCCATGTCTAGCACTGACTTGCTCATAACAGCACCAGCTCACATGGAACCAAAAGGTTGTGTTCAAAGTCAGTTTCCTTTAGGGGGAAGTTTCACTATTGAAAGGTGTCTAACATAAACAGAGCTTGAACTTAAACTGTAGCCGGCATGCTCTGCATAAGGAACCCATTAAAAACTGTTATAAGATACTGATTATTTATATAATTTTTATTTTATTTAGCAAACCTAAAGGCAATATTTCAAAGACCTTTGCAAGCAGGTACTGTAGAGGAGAGGAAAGAAAATGAGAAATGCCAGTGATTAACAAAAAGTTAGCTGCTACAGTACAAGAAGAATACTTTTAATTTTAAATATTTGGAGTGTACTCTAATGTCAGTGCATTTTTTATCCAAGTCACACTTTTAATCTCAAAACTGTACTAAAACAGTGACTTTATACTGTATTATTGTAGTTGTTGTTACTCCCTGAGACCAAACTACCACCTAGGTACAATGATAAAAAACCCTCCACACTGCTGGGATTTTACCCCAAGAGCAGGTAAATGGTGCACTGTTTACTAGCTAAGCATTGTTCCATACAACAAAAACCTATTGTGCTCAGTCATAATCACACTGGTTCTGGTGGGAAAGAACTAAAAGAGAGTCTGTAGTTATGTCTAGTTCAAATCTGTCTGTAACAAATGGAAACTGTGTGGCTTTTAGCACAGAGTGCGCTGTAGGTTTTCTCCAGGACTATTTCATTTCACAGGTTAAATTTAACCTTAATGGAAATCAGAAATACAAAAAAAAGATCTAGTGCTACGACCCGTACAGTAAATGGGCAGAGGCAACAAAACAGATTAAGAACTGAAATCAACCTTTATTGTAATTCTGCACAAGGGACGCATCAGAAAAGAGATAAAAATGTACCTGACCCTCTGATATCATTTCTTCACTTGACTTGTTTCCCATTTAGATTTAACTTCATAACTAGCGCTCCCCAGCATGTTGTCCAATTCCAACCTACAGCTCCTCTCGCTCAGAGTTTACTGAGGGCTGTGCCTTAAATTACAAACATGCATAAGGTGATGCAGTGTAATTAACTGCTGTATATCCTTGTAAAACTGATTATAGATTACCGTTAATCAAGATGTACTTCATGTCTCCTCTTATAGAAGATGAACCTATAATACGGTTCCAGCAAGTAACACAATAAAGCATGATAAAATCAGATTGTAACGACTATGCGCAACAGTGACTGTGGATGGAAATGGTTAACGGTGACGCTGTGTACGTCACACACTGGTTTCTGCTGCGTTGGGCCGCAGTTTGGTCAGAACAGGACAACTCTCTGTACTCTGCCACTTTCTCCAACAGATCAGCAGCTGCTGGATTAAAATCGCCAAAATGGGCAACTGTCAAGTAAGTCATCCAACACTTAGCCGAGCTTGTTTGCGCTGGTTGTAAACAAACATACAAACAAACAAAACTGCAGCTTGCGCTTCGGTTGAAGCAATAGCGTTTCACATTAATGTATAGGGTCAAGATTTTAATCCAACTAAATGTTAGATTCCTGTGAGTTTGTAGATTTCGAATAAATGTTGTATTTATTGTTTGTTTATCTTTGGACGATATCCGTCATCAGTTCTTGCGCACAACATACAAATCATAATTAAATCTTAATTACTGTGACCGAATTTGAGAGTTGTGGCATCACATTCATCATATTTAGCGTTTCTTTAAACACCAAACCATGTCACAAACTACACCGTGTGAACATTGATTGTCGGTGTTTACGCAGAGGAAAGAGCCACTCCCCTGCAGAATGCATCACAGCTCCGTTAGCTGGCTGAGGAGTTGGGTAGAAGAGTGGGGCGCTGTGCGTGTCAGCCAAATGCGAGTGCGCAAAAGTGTGTGGGGAAGGTGCCCATTTTAGGTAGATTTTTGTCTTTTTGGAACATTTCTCCTTGAGCTCATTTGTCTTTTGGCAACTTAAGGCTACAACAACTGCGACTGTAAAGATGTCCGTGTATAACAAACAGCTGCATTTAATTGCTTAATACGTTGCAGGTACATAATCATTAGATTCAGAAAATAAAGAAAATTGGTGGTCCCACACAAAAACTGATTATGAGAAAATGAGCCCCTGTACAGACAAGTCAAAGGCGTAAAGGACCGCTGGCTGTCTTTATAACTGTCCTGCGTTTCTTTATGCTAGTTTTGCATGTATTTGCGATTGTTTTGTGTCTTTTTGCAGTCCTTTGTGTCTTTTTATGGGTTTTTTTTTTGTCTATTTGTCATTGTTTAGAGTCTCTGGGGTGGTTTTTACAACTCTGTGTGGTCATTTTAAATCTGCCTGTGGTTGTTTTGAGTCTGTCTTTGTTTTTCCTTGTAATTGGGTTCTATGACTTTCAAACCACAAATATCAACAGTCACTTCCTTCAGAAGCGCTGACCCATGGTCCCTAGGCCTGTGCCAGCAGAGTTGACTATATGCTCTGTATTGGCCTTGTTCTAGTGAGGACAAGTGACACTAGACTATTCTTTATCACTGAAGACAATATACTTATATTTTGGGGACCCTATTAAATCTCTCCACAGACCCATGTTAGTCCCTGAACCACACTGTGGTAACTGCTGGAATTCATCCAGCCCCCACCAAGTTTGTGTAAACACTTCCGGCCCTGTATTCCTCAACTAAAGCCTTGTGTCTTTATGCTCCTCTCCCTGAGCTGCTCCGGCATCGCTGTCACGAATCCCTTTGAAATCATCATTGTTTGTTAGAAAAAGCTGTTTTAGCTCGGTAGTTCATCCACAACATAACAAGCTCCCTTTGTTTCCTCAGCCTACAGTCGTGCCCTACGAGGACTTTGATGTCGTAGCTGACATCAAGGGCATCCGCAAAGCCTGTAAAGGTCTTGGTAAGTTGGAAAAACGTGGGGAAAAAAGTTTTTGAATTCTAATTACATCTCTCTAAATATTTCTTGCAAATGGCTTATTACTGTACTGCATCAGTTTATTATTATTTTCTTATCAGGAACTGATGAGCAGGCCATTATTGACATTCTGGCAAACCGCAGTTCAGCTCAGCGGCAGGAAATTAAACAGGCCTATTTTGAAAAATACGATGATGTGAGTGCCATACATCTGCACCCACATGCTGTTTTACTAATATTCTTATTCAAATTTGAAATATATTTTAAAAATCTGCACTTCTCCTTTGTTTCCTCTGCTTCCTACCAATTAAAATGAAATTCTGACCCTGTGGTACAGGAGTTAGTAGATGTTCTGAAGAAGGAGTTGTCAGGAAGCTTTGAGAAGGCCATCCTTGCCATGCTGGACCCACCTGTTGTCTACGCTGTGAAGGAGCTGAGGAAGGCCATGAAGGGACCGGGCACCGATGAAGACGTTTTGGTGGAGATACTCTGCACCGCCACCAATGCTGTGAGTTGTAAATTGGCATGTTATAAACCTAATGACATGATGTTTAGAAGAATTAATCAGTTATTAAAATGTTTGAAAAGTCAATTCAAAATTTGTTTATTAAATCCTTTTATTAATTGTGTTTAATTGTTGTCAACAGGACATTGCCATGTTCAAGGAATGCTACTTCCAGGGTAAGCCAACAGGCAAATGAAACCTTCAGTTGTGACACTGAAAATACACTATTTACAAATTATATACCACTTTATACTGTAACTCTTTTGATAAAATATTGCTTTCATTAACATGTGGATACCTCACATCCAGTTTTTGAAGAAGAACTCAGAATGTTTACTTAAGTTAAAAGTAGCAGAACCAGAGTCTAAACAGTTACAAGTAAAAGTCCTGCATTCAAAATGTTACTTAAGTAAAAGTACAAAAGTAGTAGCATAAAAATATACTAAGAGTGTAGAATGGCAGATTTCACACTAATGTATATGATATTACTGGATTATCATAACTTGAAGTAGTGGTTAGCCTGTGAATTCTTTTAAAGATAAAAAAAAAGCCTAATGAAACACAGTATAATTACTGTGTTTCATTTTATTCATCTGATTCTGAAAAGTAACTCATAACTAAAGTTATCAAATAATATATAATAATATAATACTGCACAAAGTACAGTATTTTTTTCTCTGAAATGTAGTGAAGTTGAAGTATGAAGTAGCAGCAAATGAAAATACTCAAGTATAGATACCTAAAAGTTGGACTTAAGTGCAGTACTTGAGTAAATGCATTTTATTACTTTCCACCTCTTCTTATGTCCTACCCACTAAGTTAACTTCACTCTTTTCCTTCCATGTATTATGAACTCTGGAGGAAACTGACACACCTGTGACGCATTTAGTCCTAAACCATGTGCAGTAGTATTGCTATCCTTTAAAGCATGTACTGTACTGTAAAACCACACTTTGTTTAGTCAAGGCCCATCCTGCATCAACTTCCTGTTCAGTATAACAGTGCTGACACTAGCTGATTTTATTTGCCAACTTCTTTCATTATTGCAATATTTTTCAGCCACTGACACCATGAGTTGACACTAAATTGATCATTTATGAATTTGCCTTGCTGTTTTCTCAGTAACTTAGGAGGCTAGTTCGGGTATCCTGCATGTAGCCTGTGGATGTATTAGGATGAAAGTGAACACTTTGTTTCCACACAGAACAAGAGGTCTATCTGTACCATGAAGGATTTGTAAAGATTCACTCATACATACTGTACAGTAATGTGAAATAAATAGTATGACTTTTGTTTGTTGTTCTTTTATTTGAATGTCCTGTTGTTTACATTGTGTTTCCTCTTCAGTGCATGAACGTGATCTGGAAGCAGATATTGAGGGAGATACAAGCGGGGAAGTAAGAAACCTGCTCACAGCTCTTTTGCAGGTACAGTAAGTGGCCTTGAGTTTCTACTTCACTTGTGTAACTGAACTCCTCCCAACTGGCTGAAACTGAGCTCATGCTCTCTGTGTCCAATCATGCTCTATAAACACACATACTGGCTATGGTCCAGACTCCCTCCCATTGGTAAAACGGAGGCCAGATAGAGTTGCTTGAGCCAGACTCAACAGCCACTACACTAGAAAGGTCATCTTAATCTTCTTCTCTCAGGGCAACAGAGATGAGAGCTATGAGGTGGATGAGGATCTGGCTGAACAAGATGCTACATCCCTGTTTGAGGTACTATATTCCTTCACAGTGCATCCTCACAATACTCCTATCACAGATTCATTAATCATGAGACTAATAATTGTCTGATGCAGGCTGGTGAGGGATGTTTTGGGACAGATGAGTCCACCTTCACCCATATCCTGGCCACCAGAAATTACCTGCAGCTCCAGGCCACCTTCAAGATCTATGAACAGGTACAGTAGGTTGTGATGTCACACTGGCCATAGATGCAGTGGCATATTAGTTTAAGTGGCTGGGACATGTCATCTTCAGCTAGCATGTGAATTAATCAGGGCTGGTATCTTAAATTACACTGGTGGAAGTGTTATTGGTTCTTGTGCAAGTGGATTTTTCAGAGCTATACTGTACTTCACTGGGACTTTAAATAATGATGGGCCTCTTTAATTATACTTCTTCAAATGTTTTGATGAGATTAGGAAAATGACGTGTTACCAGTTCAAAGCAGATTCAGCTGGTGGTTTTCTTTTCGCAGCTCTCTGGAACTGAAATCCTGAATGCCATTGAGAGTGAGACTTCTGGGACACTGAAAAGATGTTACATTGCTCTTGGTTAGTATGAAGTACAAGTTGTGGAATGTTAAAATGCAGTAAGCACAGTCTATGTCCTATATTAATCAACATTTTTATTTTCCACTTGAGTTAAATTACTTGCAGAACTTCACAGCAACATTGAAAAATCCCACAATATAATCCCATAATATAAATTATTAAAATATCAGTAGATAAATGCTTGGAAAATGAGTTTTTGTTTATGCATATCTGACTGTAGAATAACTGTGGGGAAACAGTGCTACTGGAAGTGTGAGGGCTGATGACGGTGAAACATAAGGTACAGTAAGCTGCAGTGGAGTTAATGGAAGCCTTTCTTCCTCCCCACAGTGAGAGTTGCTAAGGACCCTCAGCTCTACTTTGCCAGACGTCTGAATAAGGCAATGAAAGGGGCAGGCACTGATGAGGACACCCTTATACGTATCATTGTGTGTCGCTCTGAGGTAATGGAATAACAGTTTTATCTTTTGATAAGTTAGATTAAAGCTTAGTAGCACCAGGACACTCAAAGTCCCCCAGTTTTCTGTAACACATGTTAGTATGGCTGGCTGTGATGTCATGAGGTCTTTAACCTTATATTTACCTCCATTAAATTTATTTTATCAATTTAATTTCTTCACTAAAAGAGTATTGTTGCTGATGATACCAGTGAGACAATGAAATGCATTTACAAATGTTTACATAAAGCTGAATGCAGCCTGTACTTGTAAACACACTGGTATACGCAATTCATACTGTACATCCTTACACTTGGTGTATGTTGTTTATAATTTGGTTCAAGTATACCTGCAAGCCATGAAGTACAATTTACCACTATGTTGTTTTGTGTCTCATTTGGTCATGATGTGAATTCACCACCATTCATCAATCCTGAACTCTATGAATGAGTACAGCATCTAAAGGCTTTTCATTTTGTCAACAGTATGATTTGGAGACCATCAAAGACTTCTACCTGGAGAAATATGATGTGTCTTTGAAGGACGCCCTGAAGGCCGAGTGCAGCGGGGACTTTAAACGCCTCCTCCTGGCTATTTGCCACTGAGAGCTGGAGAGGCAGGCAGTGGTGGAGGTGGAAGAAAGAAACAGCAGAGTATGGGAGCACTGCTGCTTTCTGTCTAACACCACTCATGTGACATTATGTAGGGAGCAGGAGGGTAAACTGCTGAAATCATTAACCATGTCTTTTCCAAGTAACCTGAGTTACCATAAATGTGAGTGACTCATTTTTAACCTCTTTTCAACTAGATTTCATTGTCTAGGACTAATGTGTCTATGAAACTGTGTCTGTCACATACTGCCCATTTCTTACTCTGGCTCTTAACACCTTTACCAGCATTTACAACATAGTGTGTAATTTTTTGTCACCTTAAACAAGCACCAAATTAATATATTTCCAGTGTTCACAGCAGCAGACTATAGTCGCACAGATTACATGAGAATGATGTGATCAGGTGCTTGAAGACCTGATGGGATAATCACCTTGTAAAGATAAGACATGGGGGGAAAGGCTGCCATAGCATAGGTGTGTGTTTCTGCTAATACATATACTAACACTGATGCATTATTTTCATAATATATTGTACCGTTTTAGACAATTCTCTGTCAACTTTAGATTTATTTTATATATCACCCTCCTCTTCCCAAACTCAGTGACTGTTACATTTCACAGCTGCTAAACCCAATGCAATCACTCCTTAGACATTTGTGCATATTAATGAAGAAGCAGGAAAAGTTGTAATGAAAGAGTTTAACTGGCATCATGAAAGATATGCGGTGTAATGTGAATGGATTTTATGTTCACAACTTAAGCACTGAAGACATTCTATAGTTTATTGATTAAAAGTACAGTGTGTGGCATTTTATCCTATACAACTAGAAAACTTGACATATACAAATTCACCTCACCTTGTTATTTATTTCTTGTATTTCTTTTATGGTTAACATGCTGTATTTAATATATGTCACTATATAGTCAGTATTGGAGCATGTATGAGAAGAAACCTGATGTTTAGGGGAGCTGAACATAACATCTTGACATTTGTGATGTCTGTGCCCTATGTCTGTCTATATGAGGCAGCTGATATTTCTTAAACCACCACTATTGTAAACTTTTTGGAGTAAGCTGAGTAGAAAAATCAGTAAACTGCAGCACACGAGATGGTCAAATAGGGCGAATTGGGTTTGTTTGTGGAATTAGGGTTTACCTCACAATAGCCAAAGAATTTTGATCTAACCACAAATAAAGTGATGTAATATCATTGTTTGTTTTATGTTATCTCTGATGCTCTGATGAATTAATGCACGTTTATCTATATTTTTGTCCTCCAAAGCTACATCCATGAGAGGCTCACAATATTAGGATACAGTAGCCCAGCACCATGACCAGTGTAATAGCAATATACAGTCAGACAGAGGAATTCAAGGTGGAGGTGGGGCTATATCAAGGATCAGCTTTGAGTTCCTTCTTGTTCGCTATGGTGATGGACAGGTTGACAGATGAGGTCAGACAGGAATCTCTGTGGACAATGATGTTTGCGGATGACATTGTGATCTGTAGTGAGAGCAGAGAGCAGGTGGAGGAACACCTGGAAAGGTGGAGGTCTGCTCTGGAAAGAAGAGGAATGAAAGTCAGTCATGGTAAGACAGAATACACTTCCCTCCCTCTCGTGTATGAACGAGAGGGAGGGAAGTGGAACAGTGAGGTTACAGGGGGCTGAGGTCAAGAAAGTGCAGGAGTTTAAGTATTTGGGGTCAACAGTC